GTAGAATTTTCCTATAATGACAGTTTCCACTTGAACATCTAGATGACACCTTATCACACTTTGTATGGGGAAAAGTGTTGAATGCTGTCATGTTGGCTGGAAGCTGGGGAAAAGCAGTTTATGGGACTTGAAATAGTCCATCAGACTGCTGAAAAGTTGAAAGTGATTAGGGAAAGGATGTTAGCTGCTCAAAAGAGCTATGCTGACAAGAAAAGACAACCGATATCATTCGAAGTTGGAGATTCGGTTTTACTTAAAGTCTCGCCATGGAAGGGACTTATAAGGTTTGGTAGAAGGGGAAAGTTGAGTCCAAGGTTTATTGGACCATTTAAAAGTTCTCCGGAGGATCGGGAATCAAGCTTACAAGCTAGAATTACCGGAAGAACTAGAAGGTATTAGCGATACCTTTTATGTGTGTTATTTAAGGTAGTTCACGGGAGGTGTGCCCGACATAATTCCCATTTCTGAATTAAGGTTGGATGAGAGAAGAGGTTAATTGGAGAACCTGAGGCAATCGTTGACCATAAGACTAAGAAGTTATAACGTAAGATAGTCGATTTAGTGCTTGTGCGTTGGAAACATATAAATGGGCCAAATCCCACCTGGGAAACGGAGAGTGACATGGTGTGTCGCTACTCGTAGTTGTTTGTCGTTATGTGATTCCGGGGACGGAATCATCCTAACGGGGAGAGAGTTGTAACGCTCGTGTTTCTAGGCTAGGCATTAATATTGACATAATGGTCTAGGTTAACCTTTGTAACTCATTTAGAAGAAATGAAAAGGAATTATGTGAATGTTATGTGAATTATGTGTTTTATGCTTAATTACTACGAGTTAATTAATTAAGATTAAAAATGAGCGTCAAAAATTAAATTTTAGATAAAGCCGATATCTATTAAGAAACTTGTAGTGGGCGTGACAAGGATTACGGATATATAAAGAATGCCGAAATCCGAGTTATAACGAAGAAGTTATGACCTGTCGAAGTTTCACGATAAACCGGCACGGGGCCGAATGTCGTAAAAAGTGAGTTTTCAATAAACTACTTTTTGGCCTTAGTGATCTAAATGAAACTCGTAGTGTTCGTTAAACCGAGAAGTTCGATAAAAAGAACGCCCAAATCTGACTTCGTATGAGGAAGTTATGATTTTTCGAAGTTTCAGCTTAGCGGTAGACAGCTAAAAACTCGAATTTTAGATCGAGTGATTTTTGCCGACACGACCTAAATGAGATTCGAAGGTCTCGTCATTAGTAGCACAACGGTAAAAAGTCTGACGAAAACGGACGTAGGATGAAGAAGTTATGATTTTTAACGGATTTCCTGTCCCGGTCTGTTAAAAATAATAATATAAAAATTAAATTCAAAATTAGCCGACAAAGTCTAAACGAAAGTTGTAGAGCGTAATTTTACCTACGCGTGCGTATAAAGAACGTCAAAAACGGAGCTCGTATGCGAAAGTTATGGATTTTAGAAGTTTTTGCACAAAAACCGAGAAAATTCGCATAGTCACAATTGCCACGTCACCCTCGCTTAGAATGTGACACATGTCCGAAATCAGTGACTCATGCGAAGCCACGTGGCGAAGCTGCTGAGTCATCCGAGCACATGGCCTTATCCGAAGCGGTCCAGTAGCCATGCGACACGTACCCTCTTAGCACGAGACCGAACCCTCGCTGACTGCCACGGTGCCTAGGCTTCGGACCAGTAGACCTCGGTCCAATAGGAGACTGCCAGCGAGCCTTCGCAGGTGCGACCCACGTGCAGCCCTCGTGCGAGCCTCCTCTGCGAGCCGTCGGATCTCCGGAGCGTGGCCACTTCTCAGCCGTTGGATCAAGACTTCGGACCCTATATATAGAAGGGGACCTGCGAGCCTTCCCGGTTAGATTTGGATTTTTGCCATTTTTAGCCCCTTTCTTCAATTATCTTTTCCCCGGTTTCGAAGCCCGCCCGGACTTTTCGGTTTCGAAGCCCGACTTTTGCAGAGCCCGGTTTCTCAATAAAACTCCCGGTTTTATTAGAAACGATCGTTTTAGGAAATGAATTGTTGCCCGATTTTCATTAAATCAGGTGTGTGTAGTTACTTTCACCTTACACATAGATATCAATTATTTTATATAAAATACGTACTGTGTGAATATTTATTGTTTGATTATTTGAGTTGGATGTTGAAGGTGTGATTTATACATGTTTTTAAATAATTTAAACTGTATATGTATTTTTATCTACAAAAATGTTGGGTAAAACATGGGTAGATGAAATAATGGGTGTGTGATGAAAGGTGAGTTGGATAAAGGAGATGATCAGTAATATTGATCATAAGTTGAGGGTAAGTGGTGAAAGGAGATCATGAGTTGAGGGTGAGTGGTGAAATTTGAGAGAATCACTTACCCAAAATGTTGGCCCCCGTCATTCAGCAGAGTAGGGATGACAACCATGGACTATTCTAGACAGTCCGTGGAGCACTAGCAGGCCCGCAACCTGTAGGTGTAATGAACTATATGTTCATTTGGAGTACTCTAAAAACCCATTGACATGTATGACAGGGGTGAATACTGTCAATAATACTGTCAATAAATAAGAGTTATGAATTTAGCCCCTGTTGTATAAACCCTGGTGATGGTGTGACCTTGTGTCTATTCCATAGGATGAATCCTTAGGAAGGAGTGATAGTTGATTCTTAGGGTAAACCCTTAAGAAATAAATAAGATAATGGAGTTTGGGTAATTTGGTTGATTGATTGATGTTTAAGTACAATAAATTTATTTATTGTGGGTTGAAAACCCTATATGCTCACCAGGCTTCCAAGCCTGACCCACTCAGCTTTTTATGATTACAGGTAGTGGACCCCGAGCATAGTCGGATGATGATGATGAGTGATTTATGGATTATAGGCCAGTAGTTATAAATTAACTGTTGTAAGGCTTATAATGTCTTGTTTATGCTTTTGATCTGTATCGAAACATGACATCCCGAGGTTTTAATATAAAAAGGAAATTATATATTTCTTAAAGAAAGATTTTGATAAACTTTTATCATATGTTGTTTTGGGGACCAATTCCGCAACATCTTTTAAAAAGATCTCTGATTTTATTTTAAAAAGCATAAATTAAATCGGTCTTTTCTGGCCGTGAAATTGGGGATGTCACATCATATTTTTAGGAACAAATTCCGCAACATTTTTCTTAAAAAGGATACTCTGATTTTCAAATAAAGAATAAACAAATTGGTCTTTTCTGGCCGTGAAATTGGGGATGTCACATGATATAACTTAGGAATGTTGAAATTAGCGAAATGAGGTATTTTTATGGAATATATGGAATTTAATTCCATATAATTGTACAACCATACATGAGACTTTATCATAATTGATTTCAATTCCCATCAAATCCCTTGAATTCCTAGATTTGTGTTCGAATTATTGAATTAAGCCTCAGATTAAATTTATCCAACGTGTTAACTATAATATTTAGATACCATTTATTCCAAGAGATTAGATTAAGAAAGAAAATTATTGGATTTCACATGTCATGATTTTATAGGATTAAGAATATAAGTAGGAACAAATGTTAGGAGGATATTTAACTTTTCATCTGGATTTGAAGATAATCCTAACTTGTGGAAACTTAAATAACAATAAATGGTTGGTTTTTATTACTGTAGGAGTTTCTATTCGAAGATTAAGTCTAAAAACATTAGTAATTTAGCCTCCAATTTCATCTTCAAATTTCAAGATCGAATTGTTCACTCTAGCTTCCAATGTTCTACAATGAATGAATTGAGGGAATTGACTTATCAGCCAACTAATGAATTTACTTTTAATTCAATCTTAAAAAGATTTTAATCTTAATTAAAGTATTGTTATTTAATTCAACCTAAAAATAATTTTTTATTTTCTAAATAATTTTAATTAATCATAAGTATCTTGCCTCAAATTACGGATGTTACAACTATCTGTCCCTTGAAATTATTCGGTCCCCAAAATACACCAAAAGAATACTAAAGTTGGTAAATTCTTCAAACTTAATAAAATTTTGAATTCTATAAGTACTACACTTTAAGATGTACTCTAAACGATAAATGGTTACCAATAGATAGATTCTTATGATACATATACATAGGTAAGAAAGTTTATATCTCAAATTAAAAGATTATCTTAAGGTCAACTATTTCACAAAATCTTTTCCTTATGTTTATATCCTTCAAATATAAATCTTTACATTTTCATTTTTCACCATAGATAGATTCTTACAATAGATATACATAGGTAGAATCGATATTGTTATTTGACTTTATTCATCAATCCTCTAAGGTCACATTTGATAGATAATGGAACTTTAATTTTCTAAGTTCCTCGTCCACACATAAACAATAATATTTCTTGTTTGACCATTGTTATATGCTCTTTTCTTATGGTTATTTCAATACCGAAGGTAAAGCCAAAATAATATTTATACCTCAAGCTGAGACATTCCTTGACTTCAACCTAACTTAAATCTCTCTTACTTTCTTCATATGTCATTAATGAATGAGGTTTAACTAACTATATCATAGGGTATACGCTGATCTTATCTTAGACCTGATTGGCTAATTCATCTTCAAGGTCAGAACTCAAATTCTAAAGGGTCCTCACATTAGTTTAAATCATTAATAGATTTGTTTAGACATTCCAAAAAACATTCATTTGTGTAAAAAGTCAAGGATATGGCCATTTTATTTAAATTGTTCTAAGTTTTTGTGATTTTGTCTTACAACAATGTTTATGAAAACATGATAAGTACTAATACATAGATTTAGGAAGGAACTACATTTTCATTAACTTATGATTTAACATATGTGGTCTTCTAATAGTGTAATATTAAAAGAATTGAATATTATAAGTATTTATTAATTAAATAAGAAGAGTCTAAATCAAATATTTTTTTATATGTATTTCCCACTGAAAGCTAGGCTAAACAACTGACAAATCGTCATATTAAATATTTGAGAGTTAACCATATACATGTTATGTTTTAGGTACAATTATCATATTCCATTTCTTAAAGTAAATGGTATTTTAAGTATCCAAGAAAAGTGTATCGGGCCTCTATACAAACATGTTTTCCCCCCAAGACTCGCACCAAGACTCTCTTTTGTCGGAATACCTAAAAAGGTAACATTTACCTCTATTCAAAATTATTATGTTTGGTTGCACTTATGTAACTAATTAGATTTTCAAGTTGTAGACTCTTGCATTTCCAATAGCAGAGACTCAATCAAGGTGGATAGCACACACATTGTCAAGGAAAGTTTTGTTGCCATCAGAAGATGAAATGTTGAACGATGTCGAAGAATATTACCATGAATCGGAAGGAAAAGGGATCCCAAAGCATCATATTCATACTCTTGGATTTGAGGTATTTTTATGCTATTTTTCTATAGTTGTTGATATATTTTTGACATAATCATAATTTTTTTCTTCAATTGGTAGACGCACTACATAGATTGGATGCTTGCTCAATCTGGAATGGTCATGGAGAAGAAAGTAAAAGAAATGACCAAATATCTAATCCATTGTTTAATGATGGCTGGTCTAAATGGGTATATTGAAGCATTCTTGCAAAAATATAGGATATGATTTGGTGATGTTCCGCACAACATCTGCATTATACATGAAAAAAAATTTATGTAACGAAAAGAAATTCTCATCACTTTCGGATTTTTAATAGCTAAACTGAGTTAACTAGCAATGAGCTAGATAAAAAGATTACAAATAAGAAAGCGGAACTTAGGTTATAGAATCAAACAACCAAGTTGATTATAAGTTTGTAGTTTGCATTGGAAAACAAAAATATGACTGAGAAACAATGAAATCAAATGTCCGTGTGATGGTTTTTGTGCTAAATAACGTATAAATTATGAATGGCCATGGTGCCCAAATTGTTGTTGAAACAACCGCGTCTAAACACTTTCTTTGAATTGTTGGAAGACCCGATTTGTTTGCCTAAGATGGAAAGTCTAAAATCATAGAAACAAATGGGCAACAATATCTCATCATATACTAATAAGGAGCCAATTGGAAATAGCCACTTCACAAATAATGAAGAGATAGTCATTCATATCTATGTGTTTATCACTTATAAGGAGCAAAGTATGAGTCCAAATTATTCCCTTTATAAGCCAAACTCAATTAGGTATGAACACAATCCCATAAAATACACCACCCATAATGATAATTTTAATTGGTGCCTCGACAATACCTTTGTTAGGGTTAATAAGCATTTCAACAAACAATCAGGATGATCGGCTATGTCCACAATGAACACGGGAGAAAAAGATATATATATATATATATATATATATAATATATATATATATATATATATATATATATATAGGCTTAGGTTATTTTGTTTAAAGTAATTATTGTGTTATTGTATGCATAAATGTGGGCCAATCAAATTTACTTATTTTAAGAAAGTGATTAATATATATTATTAAATTAAATATAATTGAAAAATATCATCTTAATTAATTACAAGGGTACTTTAGTCAATTAATATAGATTTAATAAAGGAAAATTGCATTTTTTTAAGGGATCATAGATTCTATTAATTTAAAAAATCCGATTTTACGAATTATAATTCTTATAATTCGGGCATTCTGACAGAATATGTTTATGAGTATATCAAAAATAAAAATATTCTTGAACCATAAATAATAAAAATATTCTTGAACCTATTTCTTGATCATGACTTTAAAAACTTCTTGTAGAATAACAAATTCTTGAACAATCAATTGAAGAATAAAAACAAAAAATACATTATTTCTTATAGAATACGGGTAACAATTGTTAAGAATTACATTTATTGTTAAAGAATAAAACTAAAAAAACTTTCAAAACGGGAAATAAACCATCAAAATCTCACAACGACACTAATACATTCTAAAAGAATAATGTTGCTTAGAATCACTTTCAATTTTGTGGTCCGTTCTTCAAGCATCAACTTTTGTGATTCCAACAGAATTGGAATTCGTAATTCCATTCCAACAGAATTGGAATTCGTGATTCCATTCCAATAGAATCAATGCTAGTTGTTAATCGGGAAAGTAAATCAATGGCATCAGCTATATTTTGCTGCTGATTTTCAACATACCCTGCATCTTTATTCTGTACCTCAATTAAAAAGAATCAATTATGTGGTTGATGGGATGTTAAAGGCTAATAATGTGATAAAAAAGAAAAGAAGAAGAAGAAGAAGATTACATTAACATTGTTTGTTTGAATCGAATAACCTCTCTGCCACTAGTGAAAGTAATTTCTCCTTAGATTGCTCATTCAAGTCCACCTGACCATTGAAAGTAATCAAGTTAACCAAATGCTGGTTTGAACTACAAATACTACTGGTTTTACAAAAGTAATAATCATATCGTGTTTAAACTATAATTGTTGGATACTGTCAGTAAGCACACACAATAAAGAATCTCGACACATAAAGTGCCCTTGCTAATGATGTTCCTAATACAGCAATGAAAGATTGAAATCATGAGCTCGAGGAGCCACTTTTGAGAGGAACTTCTATGACTCAATTTGCATATCCCTAAATTACCTTAAGAAGCAATTAACAAAGATAGCAAACTGGAAGCACATGTTTTACTGCATACTATTATATACACCAGAAATTAAGCTACCTCATTGTTGATACTTCCATTGATTTGTGGATTCCTGCAAGTCTCCTGAATCCAATAAAATCTGAATGCGAAAAGCATAATCCTAGAAAGAATCCTTCCCGACCAATAGAGAGCCATTTTTGAGGGAGATCGTCATTATCGGAAGCGCCTTCGAGATTGGGTTGAGAAGTGGGAGATTGGGGTTTTGAAGATAAGTCTTTGAGCTGTGAATCCATTTAAGATGTGAAAGCTGATCTTGCTGGATTTGATGTTGATTGTTTGTATTTCATAGAAATGCGGGAGAGTGACAGTAGACGTGAAGATCGATGGTGGTGCCGGATGTAGGTGGTGGAGCTGGCTAGATATAACCCAAATACGAGAAGAGAAGTCCCCACCGCGATCGATGGTGGTGCCGAATATAACCAGATTTCACTGCTCTTCCGCCGGCGAGGCCATCTCCAATGAACGTTCTAGCAAGTTTCATTCTCTCTTCTGTTCCCCATGCTCGATTTTATGGCGATGGGAATCGATTTTTGTAGAATGATCGATTTTGTCAATTCCAATTTTGCAGATCGGCCGCCAAGATTTGGTTTTTAGATAAAGAGGGGAACGAGATTTAAACATGAGAGATTAGGTTAAAAGTCAATACCATACCATGATTATATGGATTATTTTTGGAAGTTACTAAACAAATCACTAAATTACCCTTATTTATTTATTTATTTAATTTTTTATTTAATTTTGGTTGGCCCACATTTATGCATACAATAACACAATAATTACTTTAAATACCTGAACCTATCTCTCTCTCTCTCTATATATATATATATATATATATATATATATATATATATATATATATATATATATATATATAAAATTTTATGTCATACCTGAACCTATCTCTCTCTCTCTCTCTCTATATATATATATATATATATATATTATATATATATATATATATATATATATATGTATATATATAATTTTATGTCGTAAAAGGCTTCAATTATAAAATATAGTGGGCTTACAATAAATGAGATTATTTATAGAGAGGTTGACCTAAAAAGTTATGGGCTGAAACATCATGGGCTTTTTTCAATACTTGAATATCTTCCCCCACTGACCAATATAGTCAAACTTGCTTTCCGAAAAATTCTAAGTCAACTCTTACGCTGCTACTCGAGCACTACGGGCCGCTTAAGCACTACTAAGTACTCCTGCTCCAAGAATAAGCAAGTGTCGACTGCTCCTGCCCCAAGCATAAGCACTTGACAGCTACTCATGCAGACTACTCCTACCACAAGCATAAGCAACTGTTCCAAGTATAAGAATCTCCTCCAAGCATAAGCAGCTGCTCCAATCATAAGCATATGCTCTAAGCATAAGAAACTCGGACTCAACAGTTAACAATCTCACACTAAGAGGATGTGAACAATAAGTTTTCATCCAAACTAAAACACTATAACCCCCATCTCTCTCTAGTTCGTGCCTTCGCTTCAATTATATGGAAGGTGAGTTAACTCCCTGTACTACTTCAGCTTCTATGGAGTCACCACCTTGGTAAACATATCTACTGAATTCTTCGTAGAATATATTTTCTTCATATTCAAGGTCATATCACTTATCTATTCACGAATAAAGCGATACCTCCTCTGAATGTCTTTCATCCTACTATAAAACACTGGATTCTTAGTCAAGTGAACTGTATTCTGGTTTCACAATGCATTACACGCTCTTCCTACGACATCCCAAGTTTTGATAGGAAGTTCTTCAACTATATAAGCTCCTTGAGTGCTTCTACAATCGCCATGTATTCTAATTCTATGGTTGAAAGAGCAATACTCTCCAATAATATGGACTTCAAACTTATTTTGGTACCCCTAATTAAGAAAAGATACAAGAACGTGCTTTTTCTCGAATCCATAACTCTTCCCCCCCATCTAAATCTACATTAGCAAAGCCTTCCAAAACTACCCTTTTCTTCTAAAACATAAAGCGGCCTCAAAAGTACCCTCTAAGTAGTGTAAAAACCATTTGACTCCTTCCCAATTCTTTCTCCCTAGATTAGACATAAATTGGCCCACAACTCCTACTACGTGAGTAATATCTTATATGGTGTACACCATTTCGTACATCAAGCTACCAACTATTGAGACATAGGGAACTTTAGCTATCTCTTCTTTCTTATTTGGGGACTTTTCCTTTGAGATTCTCAAGTGACTCCCCAAAGGTGTACATCTGGATTTTGCTCCTGCCATGTTGAGCTTCTCTATAACTTTATTGAAGTACTTTGCTCGGTAGAGTTTCAAGATAATTGCTTTTTAAGCTTGTTGATCTTCTGCATGTCTTCTCCAACAATTAACATGTTATAAATATACAATAAACTAATAATATGTTAGGAGCTGAACTTGTTCAGGTAAAAATGTTCCATCTTACATCTCTTATACACATTCCGCTGCATGAAGTTATCAAACTTCAAGTGCCACTATCTTTGAAGATTTCTTCAATCCATTCAAACTGTTCTTAAACTTGCACACTATATGTTTATTTCTATAAATGCAAAAACCTTATGGTTTTTCCATGTAGATGTCTTCTTCCAGGTCATCATGAAGGAATGTTGTTTTCACATGTAGTTTCTCTAGATGCAGATATTCTATAACCACGATAACCAAGACCAATATAATAATGGTCATCTTCACAACTTGAGAGAATATCTCATAATACTAGACCACTCTTTTTCTTTTGGAACCCTTTAACCATCAGTCTAGAATTATACCTCCTGCTTACCTCGATCTCATATTTTACCCAAAACACCCATTTGTTTTACAATGCTTTCTTCCTTACAAGTAGCTTAACCAACGACCAAGTCTGGTTCTTGTCAGGTCAGCTCAACTCTTCTTCCATGATCTTCTTTAGATGTAAGGTAGTTTTCTGATGGAGAATATCATATTAGAGGTCTGTTAAATCGAGTGGATATGTGGAGTCCTCCTATAGTTATTATCGAGGCTGCTGACTCAGTAGCTGCAGATTCATTATCTGTATTCTCTTCATCTGCGTTGCTCTCATTGAATCCAAATTCTTCCTCCTATTATGAGCCATGATAGATGCCATTTATGCATATTTTAGGGTAGTTTTTATTAGCTTTTTACATCATATTTTATTCTTTTTCATGAGTATTAGTTTAAATAATGTTCAACTCATGTTTATCGTCAGAATTCCCGTACTACTCATGTTTTTATCTAATTTTCACATATTTCGAGGGAGCAGGGAGCTTTTGGGAGCAGCTTGGATGCATATTTGGAGCTTATTGTATCTAAAATACATGAGGAAGATAGAGCCGAGGTTGGATTTGTTAAAATTGAAGAGTTCACGGCCAAAACACGCGTTTTATGAAAATTGCGATTGTGCTTCTCACTAAAATGTGATCGCATTTGTGCTTTGAGGATTTGCTGGACCAAAAATCAGTCTGAAGAATTTATCTGAAAAACGTGATCGTTGATTCCCTAAAAATAACATCACATTTCTCCTTGGATGTCTTTAAAAGTTTGAAAAATAGCAACATACATTATTAAATGGAATTTCTGGAGTTTGACAAAAATGCAATCACATTTTTGCCTAAAGTGCAATTGTGTTTTTCATATTTTTGCTCCAGATATTGATGTCTTGCATAAAAATATAGCCTCTCTGATCAGTTAAAACCCTAGACATTCTCAGACGACAAAATGACTTCTAAAGGCGATTTTCTGCACTATTTCATCACTTTCTTAAGACCTGAAGGCTATGGATCATCTCAATCATTTAGTTTAGTAAGAATTAATGGCTTAATGTCTCTTTTCAATAGTTTTCATCATATTTAATCCATGTCTGGCTAAACCCTGGTTTCAGTTTTGCATATATTACTACTTTTCATGAAATCAATCATTAGACTTGGTTTTTGATTTGTGATTCTAACTAGATTTTTCACTTATTCACTTAATGAATGTTTTATTTTAGTTATTTTTAGACTAATCACCTAATTTAGGATTAAATCATTCTAGTTAATCAGTTAATGGAATCCGCAATTGTTCTAATCAACTAGTAATAAGTAACAAACATCAGATTGGTTCCGTGTTCGGATTTAATTTTGATATAAATTGAAATTCTAATGGTTCATCAGAATTTGTATGTTTATGTTTATGTGTATATATATTTTACATTTTATGGTATTTATGGAGAAGATGAAATTAGGATGTGGTCCACCACATAGTGAACTGTTCTTGTATACACATACAAGAAATCACGATGGAGTCGCATTTACAAATGAAAAAGATAGAAAAATTTTATGTAACATTCATTTCAGAGCTATGTTTTATATTATAGACTTCATGTTATTCACAACTTTGATATCTTTTTTTAATTATTATTATTTTGTAGGCTGCCTTAACTAGAAAAAAAAGGAAGATTGGAAGTTGTAGGTGGAGAAGTTGAGGATGGCCTAATATTTTATGATGTTGTTAGTGGTCATAACAAGAAAAGAAGACTGTGTGGATTTGGCTCATATGCAAAGTCCGTTACCATGATTAACGATACAAAATAAGTATCTAATTACATTCTGGAAAAAAAAAATGTTGAACGGGAAGAATTGAGAGAGCTTGTTTGTCACACCCCGGTCGGCGGCGGAAACGTCGAGCGGTGCGAACATGGGGAAATTAGACTGAGGCATACATATATATAAAGAACATAACACAAAGGTGTATTGCAAACATTTCTTTTATTTATTAAAAATTATATTGGGATAACATTGTTTTTAAAAGTCAAGCACGCTTCCTAAACAGGACTAAAAAAAATAATCAGACGGAACTAAACTCCATCAACTTCCTTGATGACCTCCTCTTCCTTGACACGAATATCCTCCACACTCATCTCCCTGAGAATACGTGTATTTTTTTAAAATGTCAACATAATGTTGGTGAGTGCACATGTTTTTAAAGTTTTCAGCTTTTATTTTGTTGTATTAATTTAAGACATTTTTCTTTGAGAAAAACATTTCCTAAAGTATTTTATCAACCCTAACTTACTATCTTTTTCGGATATCTAATGATCCTATCTTATTATCTTCTTAGGATATATTTATTAATCCTAATTTACTGTCTTTGTAGGATATCTAACGATCCTAACGTATTTTATCTACCACTCTAAGGCGTCCCTAATGCCAGTATGATCTTTAAGGTTTTTGTAATGTATTACCATGAGCCCCCATAATCGACGCTGTTTGACTAACAATTTTCCCCGCCATGATGCTTCATCGGACATCGAATAGTGAATAATAATAAATTTTATCTTGTCAGGATTGTAGCTATCAATCGCTGGTAGGGTTGTCAAACCCTGTATAGATCTATACATATCTTCCTAGCTCTCGCAAGATTAACGATTATAGGTATTATGGAATGCCGAATTTAATCAAGGCCTTTGGATGAATATTAACAGCTCACTAACGCATTAACCTTAGGTATTTATCTTTTATCTTCTATCCTTCTTACGAATTTCCTAAAACTATCACAA